TGTAATACGTGGCATGCTTTTCCTGACCAAATGCTCTCTGTGAAAAAAGGAGTTTATAAAAAGCAGTAGTGATCTTCAATAAAGTGGCTATTGATCATGACTCAATAGTCCCCCCCTCCCCCCCCGCCATCTTTTTCGGCTTTGATCACCCAGGTCCAGCCGATGAACAGCAACAATTGTAGACTGAACAATTCAGTTTTGAATGATTAGGGGGTCATCAAAGATAAGAGTGGAATAAAAAAATTCCTAGAATCAAATAAAAACACAACTTACTAAAACCTTTGAGACATAGCAAATGCAACCTACGAGTTGCCACATAAAAAACTTAGAGGACTGGAACCAAAAATCATATGTTCTCCCTCATACACAGACATTAGATCAAGGGCAAACACAACAAGGGGACTGGACTTTGATCACATGATAAAGCGAGAGCACACAAGGGAGATATGAGGATAGGTAAGACACCTAAAAAATTAGATAGCATTTGTTGCCCTCAATGCAGAGAAACTAAAGCAGATACCTTAAAAGCAACTGAGGCTAATAGGAGAAGGGGACCAGGAACTAGAGAAAAGGTTAGATCAAGAAGAATTAACCTAGAAGGTAACACACATGCACAGGAAATCAATGTGAGTCAACTACCTGCATAGCTATCCTTATCTCAACTAGCAAAAACCCATGTTCCTTCCTATTATTGCTTATACTCTCTCTTCAACAAAATTAGAGATAAGGGTAAAATAGTTTTTGCCAGGTATTGAGGGGGTGGTGGGAAAGGGAGGGGGTGGGGTGGGTGGTAAGGCAGGGGGTAGGAGGGAGAAATGACCCAAGCATTGTATGCACATATGAAAAAAAAATCTAAAAGATCAGAGATACAAACCTAAAAAATAAAATAAAATCTCACTTAGAGGACTGGAGGTATGGCTCAAACAGTAGAGCACCCGCTTTATAAGCACGAGTTCAAACCCAAGTCCCACCAATAAATAAACAATCAGAAATATCAAATAAATAACCTAATGATGCACCCTGAACTCTTTTTTATTTTTTTTCAAGGCTCACACTTACTAGACAGGTGCTCTACCACTTGAGACACTTCCCAGCAATGCACCACCTCAAATTCTTAGAAAAAGAAAACCAAGTCAAACACAAAAGCAATAGATGAAAAGAAATAATAAAGATGAGGGAGAAATTAAAGAAATGGAGACTTGAAAAATTCAAAGAATCAATGAAACAGAGATGGTTTTCTGAAACATGAACAAGATTGACAAACCTTAGCCAAACTAAGCAAGACAAAGAAGGAAAAGAGCCAAACTAACAAAATTAGAGATGAGAAAGAGGATATCTCAACACACAGCAATGAAATTCATCAGTTCATTAGGAAATACTTCAAACACCTACATTCTTTTTACTTTTATCATACAATTGTTCTATTGGGGGTACATTGTGACATTTACAAAAGTGCTTATATCAGTTAAATTCATTCCCTTCATTATTCACCTTTATCCCTCCTCCCCCCATTCTTAGAATAGTTTCAATATGTCTAATTTTTCCATTTTCATACCTGAGTACATAATATTTTCATCCTATTCACCCTTCTACACTCTTTCCCTATATCCTCCCCCCTCCCACTGGCACCAACCCCCCAAATTCTATATTAATTCTTGTACAGAAAGTACATCAACTATATTCACCTTCTTTTACCCTATCCCTCCCATTAATGCCATCACCTTAGCAAATACCTATATTCTAAAAACTAGAGATTTTAGAAGAAATGAATAAATTCCTAGATGCATATGCCCTATCAAAATTGAACCAAGAGGATATAAACTACCTAAGCAGATATATAACAAGTGCTGAAATTGAATCAGCAATAAAGAGTCTTGCAAAAAAGGAACACATTGGACCAGATAGATTCACTACTACATTCTGTGAGACTTTTAAAGAACTAATACTAATGTTCTTCAAACTATTCCATAAAATAGAAAGAGAAGAAATGTATGTTACCAAACTCAGTCTATGAAGATGGTATTGTCCTGATATCCAAACTGGATAAGCATATAACAAAAAAGCAAAATTATAGACCAATTGCCTTCATGAACATATATGCAAAAATTTTCAATAAAATAGTTACAAAACAAATTCAACACAATATTAAAAAGATCATATACCAGGATCAAATTGGCTTCATTACAGGGATGCAGGGATGGTTCAATACCTGCAAATTAATAAACACAATATGGCACACAAACATAATAAAAGACAAAAATCACATGATTATCTCAATAGCTGCAGAAAAAGCTTTTGACAAAATTCACCATCAATTCATGATAAGAGCTCTGAAGAAAATTGGAATAGAAGTAATGTACTGCAATATAATGAAGGATATCTGTGATAAGCTCTATGCAACATTGCACTAAACTGGGAAAACTGAAAGCACTTTAAAGTAAAAAACAAGACAAGGGTATTCATGCTCTCTACCCTATTCAATATAGTGCTTGAATTCTTAGCCAGAGCAATAAAGCAAGAAAAGGAATAAAAGGGTCACAAATAGGAAAGGAAGAAGTCAAATTATTCCTATTTCCAGATGATATGATCCTATACTTAAAAGACCCTAAAGATTCCACAAAAAAGAACTCCTGGAACTGAAAAACATTTTCAGTAAACTATCAGGATACAAAATCAACATACAAAAATCACCAATAATAAACAGGCTAAAATAGAAATAGGAAAACAATCCTACTAACAATAGTCTAAAAAACTTAAATACCTGGCACTAAAACTAAGAAAGTGAAAGATCCCTACAAAAAAAAAAAAACTATAAAAGCATGAAGAGAGAAATTGAAGATGACATTAGAAGATGGAAAGACCTCCCATGTTCATGAATCAGCAGAATGAATATTGTGAAAATGCCTATATTACCAAAGTGATTCAAAAATTCCCATGTCATTCTTCATAGAAATAGAAAAATCAATCCTAAAATTCACATAGCAGCATAATATCAGATTTCAGATTATACAGAGCCATAGTAATAAATCAGCATTGTACTAGCACAAAAACAGACATGGAGACTAATGGAATAGAATAGAAGATACAAAAATAAGCCCACACAGCTACAGCCATCTGATTTTCAACAAAATAGTGAAAAAACACACATTGGATAAAAGACATCCTCTTCTACAAATGCTGTTGGGAAAACTGGATATACATGTGTAAAAAACTGAAACTAAATCGTCATCTCCCATTTGGAACAAAAACTGATTTAAAATGGATCAAATATTTTTAATGTAAGACCTGAAACTTTGAAACTACCTCAGGAAAACATAAGACAAACATTTGAAGATATAGGGGTAGGTAATACTTTTCTAAATAGTATTCCAACTGCTCAGGAAATAAGGGCAAGAATTGACAAATTTGACTGCATTACATTAAAAAGCTTCTGCCACACAAAGAAACATTCACCAGAATCAATAGACAACCTACAGAATGGGAGAAAATCTTTGCCAGCTATTAATTGGATAAAGGATTTATATCTAGAATATATAAAGAGCTGCAAACATTAAACACCAAAGAAGAAGCAATCCAATTAATAAATGGGAAAATGAATTGAACAAACAGTTCCATATTCTCAGACATAAAAGAAGTGCAAATCAAAACTACACTGAGATTCTATCTCACCCCAGTCAGAATGCTATCATCAAGAATACAAGCAACAACAAATGCTGGTGAGGATACAGGACAAAAAAGGAATTCTTACACACTGTTAGTGGGAATATAAATTAGTACAGCCACTATGGTACTGAGTATGTAGGTTCCTCAAAAAACTAAACATAGAATTACGATATGATCCTGCTAAACCATTGCTGGGCATATATCTGGATGAATATATGTGACAGACACCTGTGCACCTATGTTTATAACAGCATTATTCACAAGAGTTGAAAACTATGGCATCAGCCCAATGCCCATCAACTGATGAATAGATAAAGAAAATGTGGCATATATACACAGTCATAAAGAAGAATGAAATGATGTCATTTGCAGGTAAACGAATGAAACTGGAGAGCATCATGGTAAGCAAAATAAACTAGATTGAAAAAAGACAAATATCACACATTCTTGCTCATATGCAGAATCAAGTCCTTAAAAAAAAGAATGACATAAGTGTAAAATAAAGATTTTGGGGGAGGGGAACAAGAAGAAGCAGGGAGGGTAAAAGGAGAGAGATGGGGGGGCAATTATGATCAAAATACTCCAAATGCATATATGAAAATAGAATAATGAAACCTGCTAAAAACTGGTTTAAAAAAGGGACCAGAGGGCATAAGAAAGAGCAATAAAGGGGTAAATTCAATCTAAGTATGTTCTATGCATGTCTGCAAATAGCACACTGAATCCCCTTTGTATAATTTTTATATGCTAATAAAGTTTTTTAAACTCCTATACCAGATTGTGTGTCTCACTGGGTTTCTGAAGATATGATCATTTTGCTCATCACAAATACTATTGACAATAATTTTTTTTAAAAAGTAGCTAATATTCTTGAGCACTTATTAATCGAGTCAGGCCTTACCATGCTAATTAATCCTTAGAATGACTGTAAGAGATAGATACAAATGAGAACAGGAGCCTAACTTACTCCATTGTAAAGTTGGTAAGTAAAGGAAGAAAAATTTGAAGTTTGTGTGACTTCAGATCCTGGCTCCTGTCACGTGCTTAGCCTGTAAGTCTAAAAGATGACAATTTTTCCCTGTAGTCTCTAATGTCAGCCTCAATAATTCCATTCGGCCCCTCCCTCTTTCTCTGAAGAAACCTTTTCCTGCTGCAGCTCATGTTTATCAAGCACCTCATTAGGTGGCAGGTGCAGTGCCAAGTTCCCCACCTAATATGTCCCACCCAGCTGATCTTCATTTTTCACTTGAGCATCTTACCTCGTCATCTGATTCTCAAGACCCATAAAACCTCAGAGGGCTCTTCTGGAGCCTGAGCAAGCAAGGAGACTTTCTTACCTATACAATTGGCCACCCTCCTTGCCCGGATTCTGCTGTATGTCCTCCTCATCGTCAGTACTATAGGATTTAGACCGTGATTTTGTGGCTTTCTGCAGGAAAAAAATTAGTCAGCTTAGTAAATTCAGCATATCAGGTGCATCTCATGACATGGAGAATGGACTGGAGTTTAACACACACACGTGCACACACTCGCACACACACGCTCAGGAATTCATACACACATACACACTTGCACACACACGTGTACATACACACATGCACAAACACACGTGCACTCACACACAGAGACAATAACTTATTGGGAAAAACTGACTAAATCTTGCCACTCCCTTCACCATTAAATAACAAACGTATATGGCCATCCTTTTATTAAAATAGTAATGCAAATTTTAGGGTTTTCATACTCTAAAATTGATTCTTAAGCTATATAAAATTGAAGTCTTAAAAAAACCTTATTAGCGATATATTTTGAAGGTCTTTGTAAGAGAAAGGGTCAAAGTTGCAGTCTTGATTTAAATAATTGTAAGGGAAATGTTTCCTTTTCTATAGTAAACTCTCTGTTGATTAATGAATGGTAAAAGGCAGATTTGGTACTTAAAGATTTGTAGTAACTTACAAAAAAAGTAATTACCATTCTTGTCTTTGATCAGTATGTGCTCACATAACCATCTAAACCATCATCTCTTATTTCTAGTAAGAGAATGAAAGCTGCTATCCACTGGATACAGGCTGAAAGGCTCTGGGATTAATCTGGTGTCTTCTGGGGAGGTTAAGCTGTTAGACACAAACCTTTTGGGGATAGTGTGGCTTCATCCTCACCATGCTGGGGACAGCCCCAATATTTAGTCAACACATAACAATACAAATGATGGGGCAGACCCCAGTAATTGTAGAAAACCTCGCTACCAAAATAGTTTCCACAAAGGTCTTACTTTTCTTTGTGGAAGACCAGACATCTTTTCCTTAGGAAAGGAACAGAGAACCATTCCCACATTATCATGTGACCATATCAGCTTCCAAACTGTCTTATACCCAACAAGGAGAAAAACAGGCAACATTGCTGACATAAACACACTCCCTCTGTCACGCTGATAGCTAGGTTGGTTTGGAAACTTTGGGGGAATTAATTGTGCCCTGTGAACTTGGGTATGCAGTGTGGGATCCCTACTGTCCAATTTCGAATCCTCCTTAGTCTTTCCACAAGCCAGTAAACTAGCTAACCTCTGTAATTGCCTGTGCTTTTAAAACAGGTGTGGAAATAATGTCCATTTCAAAGGGTAATCGTGATATTAAATGCCATGACACAGAAAGTCATTCTGAAAGCCACAAAACTGACTTTCAATGTAAAACAACCTATAAACCATCTTGTGGACCGCTGTGTATTCTTTTGACTGGAGGCATGATAAATTCTGATGCTATCATAGCTGAAGTACTGCCTAAAATATTTACCTTGGGAGATAATTTTAATGACAAACTATTTTCAGAACTGAAATATTCTCTAATTCCACATACATAAGTTGAGCATCCTCAAGGCAATATATATATATATATACAAAATGCCACCAAATCTGAAACATTTAAGCCCCAACACACTTCACGCAGAAAATTCCACACCAGATCCCATGGGATGGGTCACAGCCAGAATGCAAATGCACAAAAAATCGTTATATAGTCACCTTCAGTATGAAACACATGTGAATCTCACATTTAGACTTGGGTCCATTCCCCAAGATACCTCATTATGTGTACACAAATAACCCCAAATCCAAAAACCTTGTCTGAAGCACTTCAGATACTCAATCTGTAATTGGTAATTTGGAAATATTATTATAATAAATCCATCTTTTTAAAGTCAATTGTTATCATAAAAATCTAAAAAGTAGAAATAAGAAATGAATCACCAATGACAGTATTTGGAGAAAGGATGATATATTTTCTGTGCACACAGTTTTGATATATCATAGCATGGCAATCATACTGTGAAATCTATTTTTTCACCATACCTTTTTATGTAATGTTTTACATGTTGAGGTCTTCAGAGAGATCATTTTTCAATGGTTTTATAATTATCCTTTATGCAAATAAATCACAGTTTATTAAAGTCCTCATGGGTGAATATTTTGGTTGTTTTCAATTTTTGGTGGTTACAACTAATTTGTCCAGCTTGCTAACAAGCTAGCAACTAATGGGCAGGGAATTCCAGATACAACATTTCTTACAGAATAGAAATGGCCTCACAGAACACCCAGACACAATGTAAAGTTCACCATCCAGTAACTGATTTCTTATAGGACATTTTTTACCTTTTTGTTATATTCAGAAAGGCAACCCAATCACAATTATGCAGAGCAATGATTCTCACAAACACTTAATTGAGGAAGTGGAATATTATCTGCCCTCTCTCCTGGACCCATCTGACCCTCCCACTGGTCATTACTTCCTCCCCAAAGGTAATGACTAGCCTAACCTCTACCCTCTAGGGTCTTTTGCATTGTTTTGAATCTCATATAGATGGATTCAGACTTCATAAACTCACTTGAGTTGGATTTCTTTTGTTGAACATCATGTTCACCTATATATTATTGCATATTATTATAATTTTTGTCTTTTTCATGGCTGCTAAATACTCCTTTCTGATTATATCATAACTTTATTCACTCTGTTGTTGATGGACATTTGAATTGCTTCCAATTTGTACTATTACAAATAATACCAATATACTGTTTTTGTCAGAAACCTAACAACGGAACTGCTAAGCTACAGTACATGGCACAGGTTCAGGAGATGCTGTCAAACAGTGTGCCCAAGAAGCTTCGTGACTGTCCCTTAGCAGAGAATGAAAGCACGCAACACCTCACCTACACTTGGTTTTCATTGTTTTTTATGATTGTTGTGGTGGCTGCGTGTGGAATCTCAGCATCATTTTCACTTGCGTTTCCCAGATGACTAAGAAGGGTAAGCCTCTTTTCCTTAGCCATTTGGTTATCTTCCCTTCTGAAGTACATATTAAGCCTTTTGCCCATGTTTTAAACATTAAGATGCCTGTCTTTTTATTGATTTGTGGGAACTACATATAGTTAGGATAGAAATCCTTTGTTGGGGGTATGTATTTAAAATACTCTTGCCCAGTATGCTACTTGCTTTTTGATAATTTTGATGAATAGAAATTCTCAAATTTTAAAGTAGTTTAAATTTCACTCTTTTCCTTTTCTGGAGTTCTGATTAAGAAATCTTCATCTAATTCAAGGTCACCACGGTGTTCACCTGTTACCCTTGAGAATCTCTAAATTAGATAATTTATGTTTATTTACCAGTCTCAATTCATACCTTGTGCTTCCCAAAGTTGGTCATAAGGGAGCGTCCATGTGATTTCTTTCCACTTTCCTTCATGTCTGGATTCTGAGTAAATAAAGGTATAACATAACTATTTTTTCTTCTTCTTCTTTTTTTTCCTTCGCTGGCAGAATGGCAAAGAGACCATTTCTCCCATTTTCCCTGTCCATTTCCTTCTGCTCAACCCATTTACTGCCCCAAATTAGTCTGGGTCTGCTTCAAGACAGGCACAGAAGCATGAACACTAGCCAGGACCCACAGCTGCCCACAGCTTCCCAAAGCTGGAGTCAAGGGCCCTGGGCAATGTCCAGCTGTGCTGGCCCTCATGTGCCTGTTCACCAGGCTGTCCACAATGCAGGATGTGCCCTTCTGCATGCCCTGAATGGAGATAAATCCTTTCAATTAAAAAGAGATTTAATTTCAGAAAATGACCAAAAGTAGTTAAGTGCCAATTCTATTGAGTAAAGAAAGCAATCACATTGAATATTGCTATTTGATATCTTAAAACTTTAAATATAAATAAAACCCAAGGATATCTCTGAGGTAATAAGATCACTTTCATTTATCAAAGTAAACCAGGCAAAGCTTATCTGTATGTTGGAATAATATCCTTGATTGTGAGCAGTAGACAGAGGTATAGTGGCCTCTGTTCATGATTTTCCCAGGGCAGACATCTTGAGCCAACTGTCCTTGCTCCAGCCTGGGTCCCAACAGAAAGGAGCAGAAATGGCACCCTGCTAAAGGGGTTTAGACTTATTTAATTGTTATCCCTGAAAATGTGTTAAGCAGTTCATTGCCGAGGATGTGATAAGCAGAAAGACCTGCCTACAACTCTAACCGGAAAAGAAATAAACACACGAACAGAACAGAGGTGGGTGAGCAAAACCATTTAATATCAAAAAGCTGGGAAGAGCATCTGCTATTCCCATAGGAAACGATGAAAGATGCAGTTCCGAGGGGAGAGGGTGGGAAGAGTTGGGGAAAGACAGTGCCGAAAACACTGAAGAGGGGAGGGTAAGGGGTTCATGGGTGATTAACTTATGCAATTCACTGCCTTTGAAGACCTACAATTAGCAGTTCAAGACTCCTAGAATTAAGAAGGTCATAGACCAAATGAAAGGTACAGACTGTATCCTCACTGGGTTTACAATCCATGTGGAATACTGTCACAATCATGGGGGAAATTTAGGGCACTACAAGATGGTACAGAGAGGCTACTTACCTGAACTTGAAGATGAAGGAGGATTTCAAGGCAATGTGACGGAAAAAAGAAAAAGCAAAGGCTGCAGATGATTAGACACCATCTATGTGAAGTGGGGGAGAGGAAGTGTGTTGTATCTGTGGAACAGCTAATGAGAAAGGAGTACCTTCCAGAAAATGAAAAACGTAGGCACGTGGCTGTGTGTGCTCATACAAGTGCACTGGGTAAGTCATAGCTGTGTCCAGACCCAGAGAGAATCTTACAGGCTCTGTCTCTCACTTTGAACTTGATCCTCCAAACTACAAGGAGCCTTTGAGTAGTGAAAACAGGAGGATAAGACCAGTTGCACACTTCTAAACTATCACTATGGGTATGTGGGGTGGGGGGAGGGCCTAAGAGGTATAAGGCAGAATTAGGGGCTCATTATGGTTGCCCAGCATTAACAGTTAAGGTATAGAGAACAGACTCAAGAACTCTTTCTTATGTTTGCTTAATTCTTCAGTCTGAAGGGGAATTTTATTTTTAATTTTCTTCAGGACCGTCCAGTAAAAAGATGGTACAGGTAGAGCACAATCCCACATGGCTGATCTTGTCTGACCATTTTACCTCATGGGGAAATTGTCATTAGTATCTCTTCAAAGAATAGCACAGAAAAATGAACTTCATTTATTTCTTCCAAAATAGCCAAGATCTGGGGTTGGCTTTCCAACTGGAGTAATCTAGAATAGTGCAAAGACTTCTCCAAGAACCTGTGGGAAAATGACTGGCTCAGTTAGCCAGAGAGAGTTCACTACGGACAAGAGGCAGAAGTCTAGCTGGGTTAACCAAGTGTGATCCTTCAGCTTTCAGGAAGGACACTTGCCCAAAGCCACAGTGGTTAGCTTAGGGGTGGGCACAGGAGTCAGTTGTCCAATCAGAGATAAGCATGCTGTCTGGTTTGTTACTTGAAACAGTTTTACCATGTCAGTCTCTTTGCACATGGACCAGTGGATATGTAGCCCATGGGCCTGTCGGTAGTCACTTACCAAGTGAAGCCAGGCTAAGGATAAATACCAATATCAGAGCAAGTAGAAAAAGGAGCTTGGTCTCTGAGGACACTGCTCCGCCTGAAGATTAAGCCCACCCTAAAGGCCACTCTGCAAATAAACTTGGCAGTTACCTAGCCAGGGTCTTTCACCACTATCTAAGCCATTATGAGTTAAGTTTTCTGTCTGGAAGCTAAGTAGGCCTGAGGGACAGCTTAGAGGTTGAATGGCTAGACTTTTGTGAAATCAACAAGACAACCACCAATGCCAAGTGGTCACTTAGATCCAAGGAAGTAAATCCCACATTGGCTCTTTCTGTTGGGGAGTCCTCATCTTGGAGGACAGGCAATAGTAGCAGGGGAGACTGCAATTAGCCAAGCCAGTAACCATATGGATGGCCAGAATAAATGCCCTCAATATCCACTGTCTCTCTTCCTTGCCCACTTAAGATATTTTTTATTAGCAAGCACAGTTAAAATCTCATCCAGAACCCAAACCATGCAAAGCTGAGTGTTGATGCATGCCTGTAATGCTAGCTACTCAGGAGGCACAGACTGGGAGGATGAGAGTTTGAGGCCAGCCCAGGGAAAGAGAGACCACCATGTCAATCAACTATAAAGGAGGCTTAGATAGGAGAATCATGGCCCAAGACTGGCCCCAGGCAAAAACTGAGACACTATCTGAAAAATAACTAAAACAATAAATGACTAGGGAATGGTTCAATTAGTAGAGTGCTTGTAGAGTAAGTACAAGGCACTGAGTTCAAACCACAGTAACTTTGCAAGAAGAAGAAGAAGACAAGTCATTCATTTATTGAACAACTATTTATGGACTTTCTAAGTCTAAGATGCTATATAAACCAAGAAAATAATAGTCATCTAGGCGGACATGGTTCCTGTATTCTTGGAATCTACAGACTGGATATGAAGACAGACATAACAAATGTGTAGACAAATTCCTCAGAAGATATATCAGATTACCACTGACAATATAAAGAGAATAGGTATCCAAATCCAAGGGCCACAGCAGGACCACTCAGGACATCACATCAAAGCTGGGGATTTAAGAAGCGAGGCAGGAGTCAGCCACAGATGATACAGGAATGGAGTGTGCCTGGCAGAGCGAATGCATGTGGGAAGATTATGACACATAGTGAAAATTGGAGCTGATGTGACAAAACGGGAGATGAGGGGAAAGGGGTGCTGAGATCTGAGACTGCACACACAGGCAAGGGCGCTATTATGCAGGTCCCTGAAGTTCTGGCTGAAGCATTTGTATTTGGAAGCCACTGAGTGTTTTTAAACAGTGGAGTGATATAATCAAATTTGCATGTTTTAAAAATTATGCTGATTTCAGAGTGGAGATTAGACAGGAGGGGCGGGCAAGCGAAGTGTAGGTAAGAGGTGAAATTTGTCTAGATCAGGAGAAAAGAACGGAGAGAAGGAAGACGCACTCGGGTGAAAGCAACAGGGCAAGGAGGCTGGCTGAGAGGACAGGCAGGCAGGAGAAGGAGGTGGTAGGTCAGAGCCTCTTCCTTCTCCTGAGCCAAGGGATACCTGGCTTTGCCCTGAGGGTCCCAGTGGAGAATATCTGAGTCATTTTACTCCCTACCCACCTTTAACTGTTTCTCACATCATTCTTACAGTAGGAGATTTTCATTTCTCCAGCAATATGAGGGGAGAAATGGAAGTATGGAGAAGCATTTCCAAGAATAGCAAATGATTAGAAACCAAGTGTGAGGTGCAGGGGGAATTACATACCTGCTTCAGGTGTGCATTTAAGCCTTCATGCGTGGCCTTCAGTAGAGCCCTCACTGTGAAACTGTCAGGATCTTCTTTGTCTCGAATCTGGGATTCTTTTAACAGTGACTCCAGTTTTTTTCTTATGAAAGATTCTACCTGATGCTCAGTGGTCCCGTTATTCTGCAAAGAATTAGGTAATACAAATGATTCCCTGAAGAAATGCAGAAGCAAGTAGAACATACCTTTTGATCAGGTCAACATTGCTTATATAATTTTATTATTTCTCAGTTAGCTGTAAGAGGATAGGAGACTCATTGTACCATTCTGATCCTATCCCCCCCAACAAAACCCACAACAGTAAGCAGTACTATTTATTAAGAACTCAGTCTCTATCAGCTACTCCTCATGTAACTACATTCAACCTTCAACCCTATATTAAACTCTTACTCAACCTAATAAAATCGAGTGTCTTTCCATTTCAATGATACAGAATCTGATGCTTAGAGAAATCAAGAAGGTTGCTCAAGGCTTATAAAACTAGAGAGTAACTGAGTCAGAATTCAAACACAGGACTCCAAGCCCTTCCCACCATGCTCCTTCATGCAAGGAAAGTTTGTGGAGACTAAGTTTTCTAAACCTGACTAGGTAAATTTGATTAAAAATGCTGTACTTAAAAGTCGCTTTCTTCACTGACAGGGAAAGAATATTATGGAAATTTCTGGAGTTGAGGACTATTCTAAGATAGTTTCCTTCCTATCTCCAACTGTACTGTGTCATAAAAAGAAACACAATATTGACTTGTGCTATGGTCTGTTACTATATTTTAAGATTGTAACGAATTTCAAGAGCTTTGAAAGATATGTCCATGTCCTGATGGAGACTGATGGCATTTTTAGGTGATCAGGGGACACAATTTCCTGGAAGCCTTGCTTAAGCAGGACTTTTGGATTTAATTGCTTCACACTGCCAGAAACTAGTGAGTGTGTCTGTGTTCTGTGTTCCTCTGAGCTTCACCTGCTCAGACCACTTCCCTCACCCAGCCCCTCTCTACAAATTCTCCCACCACCTGCTGAAGACTGAAGTACACTCTCCACAAGGAATCCATGGGCACTAACGTTTTAGGCCAGCTTTCCACGTGAAAATTGACTACTCAGAGGCTTGCAGAGTAGCTTCCCCGTAAAAGAAAGTATAGTGCCATAAGAGAAACTTAAAAAACAACCTACACCAGGATAGATTGTTGAATTCCCCTGTACTAATATAATCTGCACTAATATCTTCATCATATATAATTAACAGGGCACTCTACTCCACAGACCCTTGACGCTTGCAGGAGGCTCAAAGATGGAAAGAGCTTGCATTTTGACGTCAGAAGTGACACCCCATTGTGTCAGCTAGCAAAAGCATGTCCCCAAATATCCTACCATGTTCTGCATTGATGTTCACCCATCACAGGGGTACAGGGGAGGAACGTGCCATTCCTGCCTGGGTGGCTGAGAAGGCCACAAAGAACAGATAGAATCGATCAGGTAACTGAGAGTCCATCAGTGATGAGAAAAGGGTCTTCCTGTCATCCACAGTTTCAACAAAGGGTCTGTATGAGCAAAAGCATGTTCTATAAACACCAGGAGCACCTGAGTTTTCCTAGAGCAGGTGTTCCTAGAAGAGGGAAAAGTACTTTGGGGAATGAAGGGACTTCAAAGCAAGGGTGTGGAGTTGCCAAGAGTCCCCAGGTAGACAAGGGCCAAGTGTCAGTTTAGAATAATATCAACATGTCTGCAAGAGGAAAGATGTCTGTGGATAAAAGGCCAGGCACAATAGCCTCCAGTGCAGGCACTACACTCCTAGATTAGGAGCCTGGGGATTTAGTAAAGATGAGAGAGAGTTTCCATAAAACACACATGCTCTGAGCTTCTGCTGTGTTCAGGGTGAGGAACAGATTAGGACTGTCACAGAGCCCTCAGCTTCAGAGAGAATTATCCATGGCACATCAACAGATCATCACACACAGGTATGAGGAATGACATGTGTGAGGGGAATCATGGATGCCCTGAAGCAGAAGACACCTAAGACAAGTCTTGAAAGATGAGAAGATTAAATTCCCATGAATTCTGTAACAAATGATCCCCAATTTGGTCCCCTACAATAAAAATGTATTTTCTCAGAAATCTTGAAGCCATAGTATGAAATGAAAGTGTCGGCAGGGCTACAATCCCTCGATGACTCTGGGGAGGATCTTCCCTTGTTGCATCCAGCTGCAATATCTCCACATCCCCTGGTTATAGCAGAACTCAGTCAGTGCCCCGTCTTCACGTGATCCTCTTTCCTTACAAGAACACTTGTCACTGAATTTAGGGACCATCAGGTTAACCTAGGATTGTCTTACCTCAAGATCCTTAACTTAATTGAAGAGAGTTGGGGCCTTGCTCTGGATTAGCTGGTGGCTGAAGGGAATGTTGTGGCTGGTTTGAGCCTCTGTTCAGACCACTAAAGCTTTGTCCATATCAGCAGTAAATGCCTTCACTTTCTTTCCATCCCTGTGTTCACTGGAGGGGCACTTTTAATTCCCTTCAACAACTTTCCTTTGCATTCACAATTTGGCCAACTGTTTGGCGCACAAGGCCTTGTTTTCTGCCTATCTCAGCTTTCCATATGATTTTCTCACTAAGCTACATCATGTCTAGCTTTTGATTTAAAGTGAGAAACACGAAGTTCTTCCTTTCACTTTAATGCTCAGAGGCCATGGTAATGTTATCCAAATGAACCTAATTTCAGTACTGTTGTGCCTCAGAGAATAGGATCCGAGGAGAGGGGGAGAGAGCTAGGGAATGGCTGGGTGGTGGAGTGGTTGGAGCACATGAACTTATACGTGAAGTTCACCAGCCTACACGGAACAGTCTGCGGTGCCCCAAAACAATGACTTTAGTGACACCAGAGACCACTGTCACAGATCACAGATGTGATAATAATGGAAAAGTTTGAAATATTGCAAGAATTACCAAAATGTGCCCTAGAGACCTGAAATGAAAACATGCTGCTGGAAAAATGAGGCTGATAGACTTGCTCAATGTAGGGTTGCCACAACCTATAATTTGCAACAAACGGAGTATCTGTGAAGCCCAATGAATCAAAGTCCAATAAAATGAGGTATGCCTATTTAGAAAAAGCCACTAAGACTGTGACTGTCTCACAAAGCTCTGTCACATAATGGTGGTCATATGAACTACCTATGACCCTTTAAGATGAGCACTAGAGTCAGTCACATCTCATTTCTAGTGACACAGAGATAGAGCAATTCGGGGCCTCATCCAAACACACACCTATGAAGTAATTGAATCCAGACTGGAATCTCATACTTCCTGTTCCTGACTATTTCACCATGCAATGCTGCAGCCATTCTTTTTGTATTGGTTCAGAAAAAGATGAATTCTTGAAACTGAGCAGGCTCATATTTTAAACAACCATTATTTCTATCATGAAACCTGAGAAATATTTTACAGTCCCTCTGAGGAAAAGAGTTAGTAGGCTTTACTCTTGGCCAGGAGTGGACCCAAAAAAGAACTCCCTGTTCCTAACCCCCAGCACATTTGATTAAGTGACCCTGAGTCTGGTGGAACCATACTTGTTGTGGGGACAAAAGAAAAAGGACGTAAGAGCAGCTGGCAAGCCCAGTGTCACACAGAGTGCTCCAAATAGCCACCCATTTCCTTCCCTTGCTCAGAGACTCAAAGAAAATTAGACACAGTAAGGAGATGAAAATGCAGCCATATGCCAGGACTGTCAGCAAAGCAAGGGCAAAACTACAAAGCCAGGACTGACTGGTGCTGGTGGAATAATGAATGCTTAATACAGAGACTATAATTATTCACTTCACATCTGCTAAACACTGGGAGTTGTTGAGGGATGGTATCTGCCTTAGATCTCTTTTCTTCTGTGATTTACAGCACAAGAAAACTTGCAGCCCTGGAGAACAAAAAAATGTGTGGCCAAGCTTTTATTACTATATTATCATTCAGTTCTAGAATCCAATAGCACTACTGAAAGAAATCTGAGACGGACACTTGACCTCAAGACCTATCAGCCACAGTGCAGCTGTGGCAGGGACCACAGCTGAGAGCCACGTGTATCTCACTCTGTTGTCCCCTGGGCCAGCGGGAGAGGAAGGAAGCTGCAGCTGGGGGGCAGGGGGAATAGAGAGCAGCCGTTTAATATGACCAGGAGCAGTTGCTACCAGAGAAACAGTCACGGTTCCTGACTTCCTTTTCTGAGAGGTTAAATCTAATCTAGGAAACTTTCTGTCACCAATCAGTCAAACACATTCTCATTTTGTCTCCAGCATGAAACTAAAACACCCTTTGGAAAGCAGAAGGCTACCCCCACTCTGGTCTGGGAAGGAGCAGGAAAAGGGAGAGGTGGGTCAGAGGGCAGTAGTGTCTTAGTACACGCTGCAGGGGAGTGTGCAAACTTCCCAAGCCACTCCCCAAGCAATTACATCAGAGTCTTGGATGAGGACCCAGTATGGGGATATCGGAAAGTCCCCTGGTCATTCCAAAGTCCAGTCAAAGTTGAGGACCTTTGCTTTCAAAACAATGACAAAAACAAAACAACATCGGAGTATTTCATCATCCTGGTGTGTCTTCCTTCCCACGGGGCCAGTCTGCCCTTTCTGCCTGACAGCTCTCCCAGCCCATTTCCTCTAGGTCATGGGCTAAAGCACAGCTGCTTTCAGTCATTTGAGATGCATTTACTCCTGTCCTCTCCTGTCTCCTGTTTGCTCCTTGGGCTCCCTTGCACCATGCTCATCTGGTCAAGGTCCAGTCATATCGTGTGTTAGAAACAACTGGAAAGAATTCAACCAGTTCAACGATGGAAAGCATTTAGAAGTAACATAGATTAGGAGGAATTCTGCCTCTCTCTCCACTCCTCATGCTAGGATGATGTCCAAGGGAATGCCAGTCCACTTTTCTGTGAAATGCAATTCTAGACCCCATGCCCATGCCTAGGCTGCTTCAGGGTGTCCTGTGGCTCCAACAGTCAGGTGAGCTCCTGAAGGCAACGGAAGGTGCATCTTTTCAAACCATTTGTGTAATTTCCCTGGATCACGTGGTTCGACAGTGCTTTTCTGCATAGTCTGCTCCTTGATCGAAGAAGGAAGTTGCAGCCCCAGTAGGCAGCTAACTATTCTATGTCACTTTATTGTGGATGTGGCAAATTAAACACTGAGCCAGGACTCTCATGCCTAGAAAGACTCTGGTCAGGGTACATTTACTTACAGAGAGGACTAGCATCCAAGGGAGGCAGGACCACGGGCAGCTGGAGTTCTGAGCCAGCCTGTACAAGTAGCACGTGGGACTGTAGCAAGAGGCAGGGGAGGCTAAGCTAGCCTATGTCATCAAAGAAACTGACATTTTCAACCACAGTTTGTCAGCCATGCTATAATAGGATGGATTTGTCTATGGAGAAGAGTCATTGGGTTAATCACTAACAGTCCTTACAATTCTAGGACAACAGAGTCCTTGGCTTATGCAATAGACAGAATAGCTGTATGCAGGCATGGAAAGTAATTTAAATATATAGATTCATACATCCTTTCTACACTACAGCTGCCATATTTGTGCAGAATCCAGCATAGCACCAATTTGGAACCCACTCTTCCTGCCGTGCACTGAGAGTAAAGACTATGGTTAAAGTGTAACTTACATAATGGAGCTTGAACTTGCATTCATCTTCAATTTCATCTGCACTGTCCTCGTCAGAAACTTCCCCTTCCTCTGCATCATCCCCAAGGTGATAAGGTAACTTCTTGCCCTGGAATGGATCAAAGCATCCCATTTCAAAATTGAAAACAAATTCACAATAGCCAAAGGGTAAGAAGCAATCCAAGTGTGTCCATTGACCCAGTGAGTGGATAAAATGTGATCTACACACATAAGAATGAAATTCTGATACATATTATAGTGCAGATTAACCTTGAAGGCACTAAGCTAAGTGATGTAAGCCAGAAACAAAAGACAATTAGCCCAAGATTTCACTTATGAGGTACTTAGAATAGCAAAAGACAGAGACAGAAAGTAGAATGGTGGTGGGAAGGGGTTTGGGGGGGAGGCAGAAATAGGCAGTTGTTGCTGAATGGATCAGAATCTCAACACTGAAGACAGCTCTGCTAATTGGTTTGTACAACAGGACCATGAATGTTTTTAACACTACTGAACTGTGTAGTTAAAAACATGGTTAAGATGCTAGTTAAATCTTATGTTATGCATACTTTACCACAATTTTAAAAAGTGAAAAATAAAACTAAAATGAGGTGTTCCTTGGTCAATCACTATGTCAGTCTGACTAGACAATTTGAATTTGGGGCAAAATAAGAGAAGGGGACTTTTAAGAACAGGCAGTCATATTGTGTTAATTAAATGTAATTAATTAGGGACACTATATTAAAAAAAAACAGACCAGCTTCTTTGAAGAATATAGGACTCATAACATAAAGCATCACCCACCCATTATGTACACCGTAGTCTGAGTGTTGGTGTTCCCCAAAATTCGTACGTTGAAACCAAATACTGTATTACACGTGATGGTATCAAGAAGTAGGCCTTTGGGACACGGTTAAGCAATGTGGGCTCCACTGAGTTCTCATGCTCCTTCCATCACATAGGAGCACAAAGCAGGCATCATCAGGAGGGCCGGGCCCCCACCATATATTGAGTCTGCCTAGGACTTCTTAGCCTCTGAAATTGTGAGCACCACACTTCTGTTGTTTGTAAATTGCCTGGTTTAAGATACTTTGTTATAACCACCTAAAATGACCCAGACAACACCATCAGGCCAAGGTCGCCCAGAGCAGCTTGCTCTCCCAAGCAGGTTAAAGGCGCCCCTACCACTTCCATGCCCCCACCCCTGTGCACTCAGCGAGCCTGTCTTCCACAGAAATGCACCCTGGCTCCTTGAGCTAGAGTCAGCCACTCCTGACTCACTCACCAATAAATGCACATTAGAGACCAGGGGCTTTTTGACATAGGAAAATGCTTAGAACAAGATGGTAAGATACTTAAGTTATAAAATTACATTCACCCCTGAGTATCCCTGGGAGACTGGTTCCAGAGTTCCCTCCACCCCCCAGGTACCAAACCCTGAAAATGTTCAAGTCCTTCATATGAAATGGTGTGATGTTTGCACGTCAACCCACACATATCCTCCTGCTGACTTTCAATCGTCTCTAGATTATAACACCCAACACACTGTACATGGTTTTTACACTATATCATTTAGGAAATAATGACCAGGAAATAAGTCTGCACATATTCAATACAGAAACTTTTTTTTAAATTATTTTCCTTAAATAGTTGGTTGGATCTGCTGATACAAGAGGGCAGAATGTATATAGACAGTATGACCTCAGTGATATACAAAAACACAGAAGGAGCCAGGTGCCTGTCACTCACACCTGTAATCTTGGCTACTTAGGAGACTGAGATCAGAAGGATTACAGTTCCAGACCAGCCCAGCAAATAGTTCATGAGACCCCATGTTAACCAAAACCTGCGTGTTCACATCTGTCATCCCAAGACGGGTGGGAGGCTAAGATCAGGAGGACTGCAGTTCAAGGCCAGCCAAGGCAAAAAAGTTTGCCAGATTCCATCACGATGGAAAAAAGCTGGGCGTGTCATCCCAGCTATGGTGAAAGGTGTAAAACGGGAGGACTGCAGTCCAAGCTGGCCTAGGCAAAAAGTGAGACCCTACCTTCAAATTAACCAGAGCAAAAAAGGCTGGAGTCGGAGGCATGGGTCAAACAGTAGAGTGCCTGCCTAGCAAGTGTGTGAAGCCAGGAGTTCAAATCCCAATACTGCCAAAAAAAAAAAAAAAAACCCATACACAGAAGAGTCTGGAAAGAAATATGGTCTATTGTGAAAAGTAATTATCTCTAAGTAAGGGGTGATAGTTATTTTCTCCTTTTCTACATTTCCTAATTGACATGTAGAAAAAGTAAAAACAAATTTAAAAAAGCAACAGAAGGCAAGGCCTAGGGCCTGGTAAGGGCCTCAAGGGTAGCTATCTGCATTGTAGGCTTCTTACCTGAGAGCAGAAAGGAGTATCAATAGGACACTCAACTGCTCCCAGAATCTTCTGGAGGGTGCTAGGTGGCCAAGGCTATTATTGTTGTAGACATCCTTGAGTCCTCCCAATATCTCCTCCTGTCTCTCTCTCTCTCTGTATGTCTTTCTCCTCTCCTCTCCCTCTACCCTCTTGTTCTCTCTCTGTCTCCCCGTCTCTCTCATTCCAGCCTTATAAGAGGGCTTGGGCAGAGGAATCAGCTGAACAATACCCACTATCTACTTTAAGCTGTTAGATTTGGGGATCATTTATGCTATGTCACCATAAATCACCCTGATACAATCCCAATCAAAATCACTAGGCACAACTAATCCAGTTTCCACACAACTAGGCACAGAGCTCATGACCTTGACCTTTACCATCAACACAACATACATCAGGAACTATTGCCAGAAAGGCTGCCCTTGGGAGCTCAAAGTTTCTGAAATCACTTCTACCATTCTCGGCTCAATGGGCTCAGCTTGGTACCATTTCTGCTCCAATGCCAAGGCAGGTTCACTTGATCAACAGTATATAGATGGAGGTGTCCACCACTCCCTTTAAGAGGCTACAAAAACAGAAGTACAGCTTTTGGAATTTGAACTCAGGACCTTGCACTTGCTAGGCAGGCTCGCTACCATGGGAGTCACACCCCCAAGCCCATTTTGTTTTGGCTGTTTGTCAGATAGGATCTTACGCTTTTGCCCCAGGTGGACCTCAAACCAGGATCCTTCTACCTACTCCTCCTGAAAAGCTAGATTACAAGTGTGTTGTGCCTTACCTAGCCCCTAGCATTTTTAACTCCTAAAAGGGGATTCCTTAAACATAAGGACAGGGAATTCTCTAAAATAGAAGGATATTCACATGCATGGCAGCCATTCATAATGATAACTTTACAAATATCATCCAATGCTATGATGCAGGCTCATCTGTAACCTTAAGCTCCAGTAATCTTTAGTACCCCTGTCCTCCACACCTTAGCACCTTCAGCATTCGCCACTGCCTGCTTACCCATCCCTCCCTGCACAGGGCTATCCACTTAGTCAGGCTCTGAGAGAAATCTCCAACTCAGTTCTTCTGCACCTTCCTCGATACCCAAACCTCTTGACCCTGGGTCTTTAGCACAGTGATATCCAAGATGAGTGAATAATGTAATGAAAATAAAGTCTATTTTAAATTTTAAAATATTTGGGATCAAATATTTTCTTCAACTTACCCAAAGGCATTTACAAGACTAAAATGGTGTGATCTAATTTGTGCATGGGTACCAAGGCAGCTCAGAATTAAGCCACTCATTTCTATATATTATTGTGAATGTCATTGATATAGAAAGCTCCCAGAAAATGAGTTCACCTTTCACTATCTTAGGGGGGATCCATAGATTTCCATGATAATATGGCAGCACAAAGAAATAGGGTGCTCAATTAAGTGTGACCAGACAGATCTGAGAGATTTACAGACATGAAGGTATAATCACTTTTAACTATGCTTTAAGCACAATATATTCAGAATCAACTCTGTCTTGGGCCAAACGGCAGACACCAAGATGGACCTATACTCAAGATATTTAAAAGGTAGTGACCACAATTCCCGCCCCCCCACCCCGAAATAGCATCAAAACCAATATGTTTTAAGTTCATTATGGATTTACACCCATAATCCCCACACTTGGGAGACTGAAAGAGGAGAACTACAAGTTGCAGGCCAGCCTGGGCTATATAGTCAGGCCCTGTATAAAAAAATACATCAAAAAATGTTCAGTAAAACAAAGCTAATAAACATGAGAAATAACATTACCAAGTAAGGAATGATAGTCCCCAATAATCCTCAAATGTGATACAAATGGTACAGAACAGAAGGGAAACTGGCCCCAACGAGCAGGTGGACAGCAGCATTCAGCCTCAGTTTCCCTCTGTTTAGGTGTGGCAAAGAGTGAGGGAATAAAAAGAAAAGGCTGCCTTCTCAGAGTATTCATAAAACACCCTTTCATTCCTTTTAAAATCTATTTAAAAGACCCTCCATCATAAGGGCCCTAGTTTTGGCTCACTTTTCCTTACTCCTGGTACCCAAAAGATTGAAGGCAGATAGGAAGAAAAGCAATGCAAAAGATGATCCTTTTAATGTGTTTTATCAGCAGTGTTAGCCCTAAAAAAAATTAAATAATAAGCTTCAGCAGAATCTTGTGTTGACTTAATGAATGATTCAGAGTAGATGTAAATGAAGAATGGCCCAAGTGTCTTTAGGGAGTCCTTTTCTGATATACAAAGTATTTCATGCAGGAGTTATAACATAGAATTGGATTAATTCATCCACTGAGCATGGAAGTCTTATCAGAGACTGGAGCCATGGCCACCTTTCAGCTTCAAGCTCTCTGTTCTGTGGCCCTGAGGAGACTGCTAACACTTTTATGACTTGTGTCTTCAAAAGCAGGAACCCTGGTCCAGAGAGCTACTGTTACTTCTGGCAATAACAGCCTAGGAAAAATTGCCCAGTTTGTTATTTTTGCTCAAAAGCAACATTTTGCTCATTTTTCAGTATATCCATATCATTTATCTCTTATATATAAATGTATCTACATATACATGATTGAAAAGTATATACCAGGTATAATAAACAACTTCTCAATCTCCAAGGTGGTAAGTAGTCATTCAAATGCTGCCTTTTGGATCAGAGATCACTCTGATGTCAACAGAAGTTGAGAAAAGAAGTTGCCTTGCTTTTTTCTTTAAATGGAAGTGTGCTGGTCCACACATCAAGCAACCTCCTTAAAATCTGAAGAGTATTGCTACAAGCAAATGGATCTCAGATGCCTTTGAAATGTCTTCAGATCACACTGCCACCACCCCTCTACATGACTGCCTCAGTCTTCTGCCTCTGACTCATCCTGGCATCCATAAGCCTTGAGATACCGTGCCAAATGATTCAAAGTCGAGTTACGGGATGGGGGCAGAGCTCAAATGGTACAGCATCTGCCTAGCAAGCATAAGGCCCCAGGTTCAAACCCCAGTGCCACCAAAACAAAAACAAAAACAAAAAACAAAGTCTAGTTATGCAAAAGGGACTCAATTAACATCAAATATCCACCTTAAGTTCCACTGTCCAGAAGGCAAGATTTCAATCAAGTGACCTTAGTCTATTTAATGATTTAATGATTTAATGATTTAATGATTGCTGGCTACAGAATATTCAAGAAACATTCATTTTTTTACCCAGAAACTGGTTTTTAACACTGGAGTTGGCCTTAACAAGACAGGAAAATTGACCTTGCTGCTACTGGCTGCAGCTTTTATTCAAATTCTTCCACACATCCAAGTGCCTACAACACATTCTTGACGAATTCTGAAACTATGCACAAACAATCTTCAATCAACTCTAGAGATGAATACGTTGTATCTTTTCTGTGTGTTACTCTCCCTTCCAGTCCCAGGTAAAGTCTTGGCATGAAATTGTTTCTTTGATGTTCCTGCTCCTCCTGTGTATTTGGTGTTTTGTCCATACCCCTTTTAAGTAAAATATAACCCACCTACTCCTCTCTTTTTAGGTTCTTCATCTCCAAAAAAAAAAAGGAACAATCAAAGGTAGTTTGATCTAAACAACGACAACAACAAAATCACTGGAATTAAAAAAAAAATCACAAAGTCAGCAATCTGAAAAGTCAAGAGACAGTCTGAATATTCTTTGCATCAATGATATTCATTGCAGCAAGCTTCTCCCTCAGAAAAGTCTGTTTATAAGATGTCGTTCTGTTCGGCCACCTCCCCTTTCACACATACACAGGGGTCCTTGGGCATTATGTCTGTGCCTATGTTCTCTTTGAAGCAAGTGTTTCTCACTTACACAACCAACACTGATCAACCATGACCATTTTTTTCTCCTTTTGACAGACAGCTACTGGAGCTTGAAATGGAAGAAAAGAATCTGAATGAAATCCTTTAAGATATGGATTCAGGGAGCCTTTCTCCTCTCCTGAATCAGATGCTCTTATACCCACATCTCTCTGCAGTGTGAATTCTTAGACAGTAAAATATTACACATTTAACTTACTGTTCTCACTTCATAAAAACAAATCCCAGAATATGCAGTCATCCCACAATAACCTTCCTCAGAAGGCATCATAGAAACTGAAATAAGATGAATACACAGATGTGGAAAATCCTTTATGTATTGATTCTAATTATTGTTTCCTTTTAAGCTAGCATTCTATCTGTAAGGGAGGAAAGGCTTAGATGATGATTAATGCACCAGATTGCCTTCTTTGAGTAATTACCTTCACTAGGATTTTGCCTTTCAAGCTTTGAGGACTTGGGAGCTGCTTGCATTCTCCTGTGTCTATAGACGACAGGTCCAGTCTGTCCTGGAATGTCCCTTTCAGGTACTGTGCAATCTTCCTTTGCTGCTGGATACTGCAGTGATTCTCAATAGACAATATCACCGGGAACCTAGGAAAAGAGCAACACATTGCAAAGGTATCAGTGCGGCAACTGGCAGGGACTTCTGAAAATGATTCTGTATTCACTGCACTCGCATAATCCAGTGACAGGATTTGCAATGGTGGTGATGATCAAAATGCTTCTAAAATGAGAAAGATTAGAGACGCATTAAAATTTCCTCTAAGCAAATACACTTTGCAAGCATGATGACTAAACAAAATACCAATCCACGTGGATGACTTACTCTAATATTTTGCATCGGCAAAAAATGCAGGCTACATCATGTATCTTTAAAAAGAAAAATTTTAAATAAATGAGAAGCCTAAGAGGGGAAAATCATGTAATGTAATTTTTTTTTATTTATTCAAAAGCCTAGATACATCTAAGAGAACAATGCATATCATTAGATGTACTTTTTTATATATAAAAGTCCCCAGCTTGAAAATTGCTATTGAGGATAAAATAGCATAATGGAACTTTGTGTGTTTTATAGCATCATGTCAGGCATCTCAAACATACTTTTGTAGGATTATACACTAGTCTTTAGTTCTTTAAAATAAAAAAATTGAGCATTTATTCTACATCAGCACTCAGGATTCTGTACAAAAACTGTGAGACCCACAAAAAGCGATGATCCCAGACAACTTTAGGGGTTGGTGACCAAGGTAGAAAGGGAATGGGTCTGATTACACCATTTTTCTCCTCGCTCCACTCTTTTCTTCAGAGTGAGAAATTATTTCAAATTCAGATTTATTGATACTTTCTCAAGTTTTCCAACATACTTCTCCAGATATAATAGGCAATATATTTTTCATGAGTATACAAACCAGCATTTAAACTGCTTAACATATCTATGTGGAGGGAAAAAAAAAATCCAAACTCAAGCTCCGCAATATGGTCTCTGACCTCTCCAAGTTACGTTCCCCTGTCATCAGTAAGAGCTGACACTGGAGGTGATATTAGAGACGACCCTTTGTGGCTTAAGTCGATTTGGTTATCTGTTTGCTACAATCTGTTGCTACTTGGGTCCTCATCTAGCTTTTTCCTAGAGTGTAGAAAATAACAACAAACTAGCAACACAAAGACACTTTGCAACCACATTAGAGGTTTTAACAATAGAATTTTAAATTATCAATGCATTTAGAAGCCTATGAGTGTCTAATGATGCTTAGCGTAAGGCTGTGCTTCCCAATAGGGAATGGGTTATCTTGTGTCCTCTCCCACTAAAGAACATCTGTCAATGTATGAAGACATTTTTGGTGGTCACAGTTTGGGGGAGGGGTACTACTGGTGTTTAAATGGAAGCCAAGAATGCCGGTATCCATCCTGTTATGCACAAGACAGCTCCCTACAGCACCAAATTCTCTAGCCCAAAATCTCAATAGGGCCAAGCTGGAGAAACCATGGTGAAAAGACGCAACTAACATTTAAGAAAGAAAAGACAGGGCGAGGCACAATCCCTGCTACTTGGGAGGTAGAGACTGGTTCAAGGCCAGCCCAGACAAGATGTTATTAACCCCTCACCCCATCACAACAAATCAGCTGGATGTGGTAGTGCACATCTGTGATTCAGGCTATTCAGGAGGCATAGGTAGAATGATCACAATCCCAGGCCATCCCAGGCAAAAAACAAGACCCTATCTGGAAAAAAAAATCTACAATCAAAAAGGGATAGAGATAAGGCTCAAGTGGCAGAATGCCAGCCTACCAAGCATAAGGAAAAAAGAAGATAAAGAAGACAAAAGGCCAAACTTTGAAATGTACTAAACAAGCATAATCATTATTTTCATTGAAAGTGCATTCTTGGGCTGGAGGCATGGCTCAAGTGGTAGGGCACCTGCCTAGCAAGCACAAGGCCCAGAGTTCAAGCCCCCGTGCCACAAAAATGAATGAATGAATGAATGAAGTATACTTCTTTGAAGGGCTCCCAAACCTGAAGTCAATTCACCAGAGAGTCCTCCAAGATGTACAGGTGGCAGGCCTTCTCTGCACACTATTTTGCTTATCAGGAAACACAGACAAAACTACTTCACAAAATTGGCTAAGACTAGTAGCAATCTGGGTTTTGAAGACTGATAAGAATTCAGTACTCAAGATTCTTCCACGTAAAAGACACCATAAACTGAATCAGCTTTGCAGCAAGAATCACTTAGTAGAAAAGCATTTTAACCTCATGATTAATTAATAAGAACAAATATTAAAAGTCTTAAAGGTTACTAACTTCTAAAATATTCATTTTATGCAATTGTAATTGTAATTTGCTTCTTTCATTCAAAAATCCTTTCTTGCATGCTTGGTATGTTGTGGGTACCTACTAGGTAACAAGAATAAATGAAAACTGATTAAGACATCATCCCATATTTTCAATGACTCCACAGTCTTACAGATTTAAAAGAAAGCAAGTCATCCATGGTGGTAACAGGGCGCTATATGATAGGACAGAATTACACTCCTGGTGCTAAATACAGAGAAAAGCTTGCATGTCAGCATGCTTGCCAGAGGGACAATGCTTAACTAATCTAACAGGATAAGCAAGAACCAGGTAGATAGAATAATGGGAAGGGTGTTTCAGGCAGAGAGAACAGCATATGCAAGGATGTGAGTCGTACAAAGCAGCATGCTCACTGAGGGTAAAGAAAGAGAGTCATGGAAGGCCAAATGCTAAGTCTCCATGGAGCAGTGATAGGAGAAGATGCCGGATGAAAAGGCAGCGGCCATGCCTTGAAGGGCATGCAGACACGCCTATGTACAACAGGGGGTGGGGTTTTGAAGGACTTTAAGACAAGAATACAAACCATACCTATATTTGAGAAGGACAACTATGGTATCAGTGTGGAGGATGGACCAAAGTGGAAATGAAGTCTATGAAGTCAAAGATAATTTAGGAAGTAGAACTGAAGGGATGACTCTCCATTTTTGCCTGAAATTACTAGCAGGCAGTGGTCCCCCACACCAAAAGGAAGAGCAAGGGGCATAGGTTTGTCAGAATGAGATGCCAAGTTCAGCTTGAGATGTGAGCCCTAGGATGGCAGGAGTGTTAGGGGACACTCAGATAAATATTTACTGTATACATCTTGAAGTTAGGAAAAAAGTTCTGGGGATATAATTTGATATGTATCCAAAAAGTAGACCAAGGGCAACACCTTGATAAATAGCAACTCCTAAGGGAGTGAGGAGATGAAATAGAAGACCAAAAAGAAAGAGAAGCTGGGCACTGTTGACTCACCCCTGTAATCCTAGCTACTCAGGAGGAGAGATTAGGAGGATCATGGTTCAAAGCCAAACCCAGGAAAATAGTTTGAGAGACCCTATCTCAAAAAAACTCATCATAAAAAGTGCTGGTGGAGTGGCTCAAGGTGAAGGTCCTGAGTTCAAACTCCAGTACTGCAAAAAAAAAAAAAAAAAAAGAGAGCAAGAGAGAGAGGCAACGGAGACAGCAATGGAGAATAGAAGACAATATATATGCAAGTATCAAGGAAAAAATACTGAACATTGTGGATGCCAAGGAAGAGTCAAGTAGTTCAAGAATGTTAGACATTGCAGCATACATAGGACATCCAACAAGCCTAGGAACCTAGGTATTACTATTTTATTATATTATAATGTAATATCCAAGCTATTTATTATGTATAGGAACCTGTATCCCAGCTTTATAGACAGTCTATACCCTGGGTTTAGAAATTTGGAGGACATCTTCAAGGAGATAGGGTGAGAGAGAATGGGATAAGGAGGGAATGGAGCATGAGACAGTACAAACATGGAGTCCACAGTATTTGTTCACAGTATTTTGCTGGGAAGGAAGCAGAGAACTAAGACAGTAGAAATGGAGAAGCAGAGGGCAAGGGAAGGCCTATGGTTCTGTGACCATGCTCTTTGGACTAGACAAGGCATAGAGCTCAGCTCCCGAGGGTTGCTGTACTTACTCATTCTTCACAAAGGCATGCTTGTTGATGGTCTCCACAACATCTCTGAAGAGAATTTTTGAAGTAAGGGTATATCCATGGTGTACTACTGGCTCTCCATCTGGGCCATCCCAACAGTCAACTGCCAAAAACAGAACTTTATATCAACAACCCAAAGTCTCTCATGCTTATTAATATTTCTGGAAATATCAGATGTATCATTTTTAAGTTTATTATTGGAAATTATGCTTATTGCAGCCATGATAAAGATGTCAAGACACAGAAATGGGTGTTGTGGCGTACTTATCAGAATAAAGGATTAAAGACAATGCATAAGTCTTTTTGAGTTAGTGTAGTTTACAAAGATGTCATGATCATAAGGTTTTTCCAACCAAAATATTCTGTTGGAAGTTAATCTAAATCCAACCATGCATGCCCAAGGATGTAATGTTTCCTAACTACCATATTCGAGTTCATGTCTGCTTCTTCAGGATTCTAAGGCCTTTTAGCAGGTTACAGTGTCCCTCTCAGAACACTTAACAGGGCATTTCATGGTTGTTCATTTCAACCCAGGATATTTCCAATAGGTTTATTTCCATTTTTACTAATTGCACAGTAGTTATAAAATAGCATCAACTTCCTAAGTTTAAATCCTCAGGTCTTGCCAAAATGTATGTGAATACATGCAAATGGTTTAATCACTTGCACTTGCTTTCCTCATCTATCAAACAGAAGTAATAGCTGCACTTACATCATAAGTTTGAGTGAAGATTAAGTATCCACAAAGTTGCTTATGCCTCTTATGAATTGTTATGATTCATGACAACTATTATTATTATTGATACTATGTGCTATACACACAATCTCATTCATTCCCAGCAGTCAAGTTTCCTCACCATCCTCCCGAAATTAAGGTTTGCCTTCCTTTGTTTTACACTGATATTAGACTAATTTCTTAAAATACTACCTTTACCATATTGCCCTTTTGTTCAAGTTTACTTAAGAGATAACACAGCATCTAGTAGTTTGTTAGTAAATGCATGCTAAATTTATTGATAAATGTCGCACAGCATGTCTTACTTGCTTAGCCTCTATATCCCTATGTTTTGTGCTAGTAACGTGCTGGACACTGACCAAGTCTGTTTCCTCATTCATGCAGGCACAGAGCTGGACTACATTTCCAGGCTTTCCCTGCAGTAGGGTGTGGCCAATGAAATGTGGGCAGAAATGAAATGCACCACTTCCAGGTCTTATTGGTAGAAACCTGTCTTACATTGTCACCCATTCCATTTCCTCTTCTGCTATGACTTTAGAAGTCATGTGCTGAGGATGGTACAGCCATGAGTTGTAAAGCTGTGAACTCTTAAATCATTGCTTGAACAATTCACACCTATTTGGTACTTTACATAAACAAGAATCAAATATCTGTTGTTTAATGGTAGAGAAAATTTGAGGTTAAAAAGGCTCTAGTGTTGCCTTAATATCCTACCTCCTATGTGAAAAGTCAATCTTACTATTCTTCTATACCTAAACCCACAGGCATGTTTTCCAGTTATGCAAATTTCCCCATGTATAATCAATCCCATCTCCACGCTTTTGTTTTTTTCCTTTAAGGTCAACTGACATGACCTGTTTCACTTTGCTGAGGCTAAAGCCAGAATGCCCCCGGAACCTTGCCAATCATCATCTAGTCTTCTTTCTTATGGTAGGAGTTACAAACTCAGATATCAACGAGAAGCCTCGCAGGTAGCAGGGATGAGTTCAGCAGCTCATGGGAAACGGGTCTAAATGAGAAAGGACTTCTCACTCAATCACTGTTAAGTAGGAGTAAGAACCTTGGTGGGCAGATTTTCTGAGTAACATTAAGAAGTCTAGATTTTTTTTGCTGTGAATTTTCCCAGTTTTTAAATATTGCCAATGACCCCCTTTTCAGAATATAATTGGGCTGACACAACAACACCTGCAGTTGGATTTGGCCAATGGGATGCCACTGGAACTCTGGCTTTAATTAGGAACACAGTTCACAACCATGCGTTTCTCTATTTTCACAGAACATTCATTCCCTATACATTTCCCCCAAGATGTTATCTCTGTCTCCTTAAACAAAATGTTCACCATACCATAATACCATAGTGATGGTTAATTTTAAGCACCAACTGGTCTAGTCAATGAAGTTCAGTCTCTTAGTCAAAAATACTGTCTAGATGCTGCTATGAAGGATTATTTTAAATGTGATTAGTATTTAAATCAGGAGACTTTGGGTAAAACAAAGTATTTTCCATTATATGGGTGGACCCCACCAATCAGTTGAGAGCTTGAGAGTAAATATGGAGGTTCCCACAGAAGGAGAAACTCTGAGACTGCAACATCGTTGCACAGACCACATGAGTTCCCAGCCTGCTGTGATTTTGAATTCATACCCACAGCTACAAGATTACCTCTAATCTAAGTCTCAGCCTGAGCCAGCACTATAGATTTCAGACTTGCCAACACCCACAATCATGTAAGCCAATTCCTTAACATAATCAAACAACCCCAATCTCTCTTTCGCTATATACCTTATTAGTTCTATTTCTCTGAAGAACTTTAACGAATATAGTTATCTACCTTAAACCTTGGCCATTCAAACATCTCTAGGAGAAAGAAATTAAAAGAAGAAAGAATTCCAAGGTCAATTTCCAGGAATACTGGAAAACGGAGTTTAAGAAGACCAAATTCCTATCTTACACTGTCACACTGTTCTTTTGAGCCATCAAATAACGTAAAAAGAGAAGGTTTCATTTACCTTTTTCCTATGTATTTGAGATTCTTTCGTTTTCTCTTGGATATAGGCATGGAAAAGAATGAAACAGATGTTTCAAAATACAGTTACATGTTACACAGTGGATGTGGTTAAATAGTGGCTCACAAAACATTATAATAGAGTGAAAAATTTCTATCACCTACTGACAGTGTAGTCATCACAGTGTAGTCTCAGCAGACACATCGGGTGTTGTTGGTGGTGATGCTGGTGTGAACAACGCTTTGCACTGCACCATGTGAAAGTATAGCAGTAAAACCACTTTCTTTTGTCTTAGTTGATAATGACAACAAACAAATGTACTGGCTAATTTGTGTATGTATTACTATGCTATACTTTTTATCATTATTTTAGTTGTACTCTTCTACTTATTAAAAAATAGAAAGATTACTGTAAAGTTTGGCAGGGTTACATGACAGCTGCCTTACACATCTCATGTTGATGCATCTCTTGGTTGCACCAGGAGGCATGCTGCATGATTGATCTGTATCACCCAGGATGGTATATGTACTATATGATGGCTGACAAAAATCACCTAAATAATTGACTGTGTAATAATTTCCACAACTTTTACCGATTTACATCCAATCTCAGCAGAGAAAGGGTGTAACAGGGTTCCATAAATATCTAATATCTCTCCCCAAAATAGTGCAAAATCTAAAAAATCATGCAAAGCTGATTTGTTTATTGTGTCCACATAAAAATTGCTCTTAAACCTACATTGGTTGTGAAAGAGTGTGCTCTTTGCTAATATGTTAACACGACAGAGGTATCTACATTGATAATGATAGCTTCTTCGAACATTTTATGTATGATATCATTCACTGGTCTTAAATAAGAATACAACACTCCCAAACAGCACTAGCATCTTAATGTAGCCATTCAGGCCAGGTTCAAGTGACAGTGATGGTTCCTACAAGGCTAATTTTGTAATGGGAATTAGCAGGTAGAAACCTCCAAGCAACTCTCCTAACCACAAATAGCCAGGGACCACTTTTCAATTAGGTTACACAGTATAGTCCCAAGAAACACTCTGACAAAGAGCTTGGTCATTCTGAAGGCCAACAGCTAACCCAACAGTTTTTTCATAGTGGAACTTAAACATGTTTCCACCCTTGTACCACTACCAGTAATAATAGGCAAAGTTGTAAACCAATTACAATAGCAATGAAAAATTAGTTTTAATAAGAGTGAAAATCCTGGACAGAATCATCTATATTTTTAAGTAACTAGGCTGAAAGGCAAGTGAATGAAAGCCACGTGAAGAATGTTATCACGCCCACCAGCCACAATGAACCATACATCCTGACTGAGAGCTGTACTGCATTTGAACCGAAGGAGATGGAAGACATAACAAGAGGAGGCTTCAGAGAGAAGAGAGATTCTCCAGGTTCCATACCATGAAGAAACTGCCAAAAATCACTCCTCTCCATTTTGGTCCTTTTTTATTTATTTTTTTTTGGCAGTACTGAGGTTTTAAACTCAGGACTTCATGCTTGCTAGGCAGGCCACTCACCACTGAGCATTTCACCAGCCCACTTCCCTCCAAGTACTGTTTTCTTGCAAAAAGCTGCTTCAGAAAAATATCTGTGGATCTGAAATTTTCAATCTTAATCTGCTATATTTATATAAATCAGATTAAATATTAGCTACGCTGTGTAAGAAATAAACCAACTTCACTTTAGACCAAAGGAAAGTGCTGCGCGATATATAATATACAAAACACACACACACCACCACACACACACAACACCGTTGGTGTCTCCATGTCAAGCTCCAAAATGAAGACCTACAGGGCTGATAGAAATCATTAGGAGACCACAAAGAGATCACATCACCAAATTTAAGCCTTCGGGAAATCTACATATTCAGATATTCAGCTTAATCATGAACAAAGCAAGTTCCTCCTTTCAAAGCCAACTCCTCTTGTGCCTGTAACTCTTCCTACCACCCTTCCATGACCAAGAGTCCTCATTCAATTATCAATGTTCTACGCCTCCAAAAAGTAAATTCAGACTTCCTCCCTGGAGAACGCGGGGTTGGGGAAGTTTTATCTATGTTTCCTAGGCTATCTGTAGGAAGTTGAGCAATTTCTACTTGTTTTTTCTACGTATAGCTAGCTCTTCTTTTGCCAGCGAAGGTACCAGCATGGATTTGCCAACTTCTCAGTTTTTAAAATCCAATTATAAAATTGGTAAAAACTAGGGAGGAATTCCAAAGATGCGGCTAAGTCGGAAGCAGAAAACCCCCTATAGTAAACTTCGGAGAGACCGCTGGAGACACACTTTGCAGGCATAATCACGAGAAAAAGGCATAACTTTGACTCCTCCACATCTCCAGCC